TGAATATTTAAATAATTCTAATTTCTAAATAAATTTATTATCATTGCTTTATTCAAAAATTTAATAATTATACATTTTTTTTCAGCTAAGAGGGAATATAAATAAAATTAATAAAAAAGAAAAAATATAAATAAACTCTAAACTCTAAACCCAGCCTTACACCGTTAGTTACCAAAATCGAAACTTTAATTTTATAAGTAAAGGTTAATAATTTTTTAAATATGACTACATAAGTTAACAAATAGTTAATTAAATAATAAAAATAATTAAATAAATTTATTCATAAATTTAATTAAAGTATTTTTATTTACTCAAAAATAAAAATAATTATTGCCTTTCTGAAAATTCTTTGACTAATTAATAAAAATATTATTTTATTCAAAAAATAATATTTCTCAAAAATATTCTTTTCTAAGACAAAAAATGAAGGAAAAGTATAATAAATGGCGTTAGAAACGGAATTTCATATCAGTTTCTAAAATCTTTGCTAATCCGCTGCTACGTCCTTTGCTGTGTCATATATGGATCTACTATGAACTCCAGAAATGGATTAGAATATCCGTTTCAAATTCCATTGCTAATCGGTTGCTTGTACGTTACTATATTTCGTGCCACCACTTCCTGAATGATTTGGTAACGGAAATATCCGTTTCTAAAATATCCGTTTTGAATCCATTGCTAAACTGTTGCTAGTTTTAATATGAGATGTTAGTTTCTTTTGTTGCCAATCCGTTTCTGATCGTTATTTGGCAAGACTCCATCCGTTTCTAAAAACCCGTTGCTATTCTGGTATTTACTTATAGTATTGCATGATAAGTTTTAAGCATAATAAAACTCCTTGTAACTGTGATAAATTAGCAAAATAAAACTCCTCAGTGTCTTTTCAAAAAACAAATCCTCGTAATTATGATAGATTAGAAAAATAAATTTAAATGTTTTAATTATTCACAATCATAAAACAAACATTTGACTAAAATACTGCTGAGAAGTCCTTATTGTTACTAACCCAATTAGGTACTCAATAGCAAAATTATATTGTCCATATACATCTTTTTAGTGAAAATGTTGATTTTTTGACATGTATATACATTCATATAATTAAAAAGAATAAAAGAAAAAGGTAGATGTCATTTTTTATGTAATCCGTTCAAATGAAAATTTACCAAGTCAGAAATGATTGTCAAATTTGATATGACAATTTGATCACTCAAAAATTTTCAAATATTAACAATTTATTAATATTTCACATAATTGATAAATGACCGAATGGTTAAACGACAACAATTTGTTATTGGTAATGTAAATTTTCAAAATTTTACAAATAACTAAATAAACATTTTCAAACTCTTAGTAACCTTAAGAAATGCTATATGAGAAGGTGTATTGTTATAATCATCTAAATACACAATATTTTCTTTAAAAGTTTAGAAATATCTATATTTGAAATATATGCTGTCTCCAATAGGTTTAGTAGTTTTTATTCATATTTTAAATTTTTTTTTCATTAATTTGATTTTTACCTATTTTGTTTAAAATATGTCCTTTTTTAAAAGTCAAAGGCAAATGAAAATATGATCTATTCGAAAATTTGGATACAATTAGAGATGATTAAAAATAAAAGTCAAGGTATCACATTATGAGATATCTCTTTCAATAATAGTAGAGATTTTATGAGTACTTATATATTTTCTTTGACGAAAAGGTTAAGTACAATAATTTCCAATATAATTCTTTATATCACCAATTAAAAACCAATTATGTGATTATTTTAAGTATCTATATGCAATTTTTATTTTATATTTGACATTATAGATAAACTATATTCATGCAACCATTAAAAAAAATATCATTACTCAATTGTGACGGGTTTTTAGAAGAAGGCAATTGTATATGATAATAAAAATTTTTGTGATGGACAACAAAGAAAATTTTTAAGTGATCAGTGACAACAAGTAAACGACAACAAGGAAATGATCCAATTTTATGTAACAACAACTGTAAAAAAAATTGAAAATTAAAGATGTTGTTAATCTAAAACAATAAACTAATCTATTTGACTCTTCAAATCTTAATACTCAAAAAGGGAAGACTTATTTGTTTGGAAAGAAGAGGAATCAAAATAATAAGGAAAAGTATTGATGAATTATTAATTTTCTTTCCATTGTTATTTTCCACTTTGGATAATGAAGGAAAATAATAAAGGAAAGAAAATAAATTTATTTTCCTTTATTTGGAAAAGGTAAATTTCAGAGGAAAAATTTTTTGATATTAATATCTTACCATTTTAATCTCACTTATTCTTACAGAGAATTTTGATGATTATATAACTGCTAAATATAATATTATATATAATCTTCAATATTATTCTTTTAACCTCAAGTTAATTTAATTTATATATAATGTACAAGTTGCGTGCAATATTATATTATATATAATATTACCATTTACGTGCAATTTAATTATACAAGTTACTTTATCCCACGTCGCCTAGCACTTAATTGAGTTTTTTCCATCTTTTCCCATATCCCAGAAGTACATATAAACTTCTGCCAAAATAAAGCAAGAAAATAAATTAATTGCTGAAAAAAATTAAAGAGGGTAAGTTTGGGCTCTTGGCTGTCAAGTTGGGGTATTTGAATAATTGCATAAAAATTGAAGAAATTCCAACATTCTATAGTTATTTTCTCTTTTAAACGGAGAGATTTTATCTGTGTAAGATAGAGAGGAAAATAATAATTTTTCCTTTCTTCATTATTTTCCCTTCATTTTCCAAACAAAATAAAATTGCTTCCTCAGCAATTTTGATTCCTTCAAAAAAATAACTGCATCCAAACAGAGTGTTAAGCTTTTTGTTTTACATATTTGTTAAGTGTTAGTGTGAAATATATCATGTTGGTTGTATATCATTTTCTTGATGAAATACTTGCATAGTTGAATGAAATACTTGCATATAAATTCATCTAAGTCTGTTTGGATTTGTAGCTTTGTTTGGATGCCAAGAAAGTGAAGGAAAATTTTAATAGCTTTGTGTATTTGTGTTTTCATCACTCCATATTTTGTTTGATATAAAGGCTTCAATTAATGAAGGATAACAAATCATTTTAATTAGCAGATTCACGTATGATCATAATGTAAAATGATTTCAACGCCAATTCAGCAAACTGTATTGTACAATTGGACCAAGACTATTGGTTCAAAATTTTGAATCGGAACCGCAATTCACTGTCAACGAAGATTCATGTTAATATTAAAAAATAAACCTGAATTGACTTGGAATTGGCGGTTAATGATAGATTCGATCCGGTTCGAATAAAAAATTCTATTTTTATTTTGAAAAATTTATAATCATTTAGTCTATTCTATGCATCTCAAATTTGTCATTCCATGATACACTTGACTTAAAAGTTAAAATCTACAAAAAGTAAAAATGACAATAAAAAAATGAAATATTTAGTCTAAAATTATATTGTTTGATTCAAATGGGAGTTTAACAATGTTTTTTCCTTCTAAATTTTTTACTTAGTCCAAAATTATATTAATTAAAATATTTTCAAATTTTCTAACAATTTATTTAATTAATAATATTTAGATAAAATAAAATCATAATTTAAAAATTTTCCTAACAATTTATTTATTAATAATAATTTTAGATAAAATAAAATCAATAATTTATTTGTAAAGTCAATGAATTCTATTTCTTTTCAAATTTTCTAACAATTTATTTAATTAATAATATTTAGATAAAATAAAATCATAATTTATTTGTAAAGTCAATGAATTCTATTTCTTATGCAAGTATTAGCATTCTAAAGTATTTAAAATAAAATTTATTAATATTTTTAAATTCTCATTAAATTTTTTGGGAAAAAAGAAACATAACCTAGAAACTAATTTCTATTACTTTTTTTCAAAAAAATAATACACATATAGTTGATTAATCAGAACTACATTGGAACCGATACTGATATCGATATTGAATTTAAATTGACGGTTTAAAAATCGATTTAGATTTAATATTTTAAAATTTTTGAACCATGGATTTAATTAACCAGGCAATTGTTAGTATTTTTCATTTAAACACTAAGGTAGAAAATTTTAAAAGTTAGACCACCAAATATAATATTTGTCCCAAAAATGAAAAGAAAAAATAAAAAAGGCTACAGGAGTACAAGAAAAACCAGCATACGTAGCGTGGCGGAACCGAAACGCAAGGCCAAACCAAAGTGATGGTCCACTCAATTACAAAGAAGTTTCTGGACACGCGTTTTTGCAAAAGGATATATGGACTAGGTTACCTAGCAAATAACCATTGTGTCGTACATTTTGCTCTTTGACTCTTCCACCGGACGCGCCTGCAGCTTCGCTCCCACTCTCTCTATTTGTAGATATTCCTTCGCAGGCGATGATATCATACTATTTCAAAGATTTATATTAATTTGTAACCAATATTTATTCTTCTTATTATTTAATTTTTAAAAACATTATAAAATTATAATTTCTAATTCAAGAAAATATTGAATTACTTCAATGCCTAGTTGGGAGAGAAAATAAGGAACAAAAAAAAACTTTCCTTATAATAAATTATAGGAGAAGATTAAATCTTTTTCCTCCATAGTATTATCATTATCATTTTTTATTTTTTTGTGATTTTAAATAAATTTTCAAAAGAAAATAATTCTTATTTTGAAACAAAACAGAATAACAGCATTTCCTTATCATTTTGTTTTTTGAATATAAAGAAGGGTATTTTTTTTTTAGGAAAAAAAGAGGATATTTAATCCTTATAGTTTTATTTGGTTTAGTTATTTTATTGCTTCTCCTATTTTTTTATGTTTATTTTTATCCAAAATATAGGTCTAACATGCAAGTTTACTTGTAGCTTTCAATTTCAAAAATATATATAATATAATATTTATAATAAGAGAAAATGTTGGCGCGTGTTCTCACTCCCAATCTCTTGAGTACTTTCAAATTACAAATGCTGCGTTTATCCCGTCCCCGAAATAACTATGACCATATGGAAGATCCCTTTAAAGTCTTCCTTTCCAAAACCCTCTCCCTCTCTCACAAACCCTAACCTGCAAGATGAGTGAGGCGATCATCACTGATCATCCGCCTCCGCCACCGGTGGATTCTGATCCTTCCGGGGAGGATTTCGATTCTCTTCCAATCCCTCCTCTCGATTCAATGTTCCTGTCCGCACAAGGTTCCTCATCCGCAAGCATTACTGCTGGAGATGACTTCATTTCAGATCTGCCCTTTTCACTTGACGATAATTACGATTTTGACATCACCTTCGACGATCTCGAGAACTTCTATCTTCCTTCCGAGAACGAGCATTTCTTTATCCCCAATTCTGCCTTTGATTCTAGCCAATCTGATTTTCCCCAAGCCTATGTTGCTGATTGCACTGCTCAGCTGGTGAATTCTGCATCTACGGAGTCGGGTAGCTCTGGGATTTCAGGCGATCATGGTTCTGATGTTGCTAAGTATTTGAATTGCTCGCCTTCACAGTCTAGGAGTTGTAATTCGGGTGATCAGACTTCTGATTCAGTTAAGGAATTGAATTTTCCCTCCCCTGTTTCTTCCCAGGGCTCTGGGAATGGTGGTTCGGGTGTATCGGAAGCCATGAATGCTCCTTCACCTGATTCGGGTGCTTTTGTGGTTGATCAGAAGATCAAGCTTGAAGAAATAAATGCCAAAAATGGCAGCTTGCCAAAGAGGAAGAAAGAGACGACTAGTGATGATACCAACGGTGAAACAAGAAATCAAAAGTACCGGAGATCAGAGAACGCCAACCCAAATATGAATGCAAGCAATGAAAATTCTCAATGTGGTAGTTTTGTTTCTTTGAGTGAAGAAGAGGAGAAACGGAAGGCAAGGCTTATGAGAAACCGAGAGAGCGCACAGTTGTCCAGGCAGAGAAAGAAGCATTACGTGGAGGAGCTAGAGGACAAGGTGAGAACAATGCATTCAACAATTGCAGAATTGAATAGTAAAATTTCATTTTTTATGTCTGAAAATGCCAGTTTAAGACAACAGTTGGGTGGCAATGGTATGTGTCCGCCCCCTATGTATCCTCCAATGGCACCCATGCCATATCCATGGATGCCCTGTGCCCCTTATGTTGTTAAACCGCAAGGGTCTCAGGTGCCCTTGGTTCCAATTCCTAGATTAAAACCACAGCAGCCCGTTTCTGCTGCAAAAGCTAAAAAGGTTGAGGCTAAGAAAGCAGAAGGTAAGACTAAGAAGGTTGCTAGCGTTAGTTTTTTGGGTTTGTTATTTTTTGTTTTGCTTTTTGGTGGATTGGTGCCAATCGTGAATGTTAAGTTTGGAGGGATCAGGGAGAATGGTAATAACGGTCTGGGTTTTTTCAGTGAGAAGTTTTATGATCAGCACAGAGGCAGGATCTTGAGGGTTGATGGGCATTCAAATGGGTCTCATGAGAATATGGGTGTTCGAATTTCTAGTGGCAATTTGGATATTGGTAGTAGAAGAAACTGTGGGAGAGGCAGGAATGGGTGTTTGGCATATGATGTTGAGACAAAGGGAGGATCAACACATTTACCAGACTCTGATGAAGTTGTTCATCTCAGTAATGCTACTAAGCCGCTTGCTGCATCTTTATATGTGCCAAGGAATGATAAGCTTGTGAAGATTGATGGTAACTTGATAATTCATTCTGTTCTGGCTAGCGAGAGAGCTGGGGCCTCTCATGAGGATACTGAGATGAACAAAAACAAGGAGACAGGTTTGGCAATCCCCAGAGGTTCTTTTCCAGCGCTTGCTATCCCTGATGTTGGAAGCGGTAGAGGGATACATTCTCACTTGTATCGGACTGCCAGTGAACGGAAGAAGGCCCTTGCTTCTAGGTCTTCTGATACTTTGAAGGACCATTTAAAGTCATCTGCAGCTGATGGTAAACTGCAGCAGTGGTTCCATGAAGGCCTTGCTGGTAATTATACTAACATTTTTTCTTTATACATTTCATGTACTTTTGATATGCTTTTATACTTTCTAGTTCAGGTATAAAAAGTTTCCTCCATGAAATTTGACATTATATATATTTATATTTTTGTGCAAAAGTTTTTTTCTTCTTTTAATGCACTAGCACTATTGTTTGGAGCAGTTCTAGTAAAAAATTTGAGCCTCGGCATTTTCATGCTCATTTATGAGGTTATCCTCAAATGAGTTGTAACCACACTCATTTGTCAAGTGAAAGAAGTCTGGCAACATTGTTTAGTTAGGGGGCCTTTTCTACAAAAGTTCCTAGTAAATGAGGTTTTCGCATATTGATTTGAAGGGAAAAAAAAAAGATTTAATTTAGAAGAATTCCAATATACATAATCATATTTGTTCATTTTATTATACATGATGTATGCATGAATGAGAAATCATGAAACTTCAAGTATAGAATATAAACTTGCTTGTATGAGTGATAAGCTTTTTAAAAATTGCCTGTCAAACAGTTCTACACGATTATTTTGGCTTTTTTATTTGGTTCTTAACAATTATTTTGGCTTATGCCTTAGGACAGCAAGTAGTTGCTTCATGTTATTTTGATTCCCTTCTTTCTGTGTTTCTTTGAGTGGGTCTTGAGGAACTGGCAATTTATACTGCTCACTAACTTTTGTGCCTTGTAGCTTTGCTAACAGGTTCTGGTTATTTTTGTTCTCTTTTGCAGGGCCATTGTTGAGTTCTGGCATGTGCAATGAAGTGTTCCAGTTTGATGCCTCGCCAGCTCCAGGAGCTATTGTTCCTGCTTCATCAGTTGCTAATATCACCACAGAGCGCCAGCAGAATGCTACTCGTCACAAGGGGAAAAATAGAAGAATTCTTCATGGTCTTCCAATTCCCCTTCCAGGATCTGACGTAAATAATATCACAAGAGAACCTGTTGGGAGTTCTCAGAAAGACAACTTTCAAAGTAATAAATCAGTCTCTTCCTTGGTTGTCTCTGTGCTTGTCGATCCCAGAGAGGCTGGCGATAGTGAAGTTGATGGCATGATCAAACCAAAGTCCATTTCTCGGATTTTTGTGGTCGTGCTTTTGGACAGGGTGAAGTATGTTACTTATTCATGCGTCCTCCCACGTTCTGGTCTACATCTAGTGACGACCTGAAAGGATGGAGAGCGGCTGGAGTTGTGGACTGTCAAACTCTTCCCAACTTCAGCTTCCCAGTTTTGTATATAACAGAACAACTAGCAACTCTAATAGTAATGTAACCTCCTGATCTACTTCCAACTTTCCTAATCAATACCTGTGAGAGTTGACTCACTATAAAATTTTATAAGTTTTAATGTTCTTAACATATTGTTGGGGGGTTTGGAATGGTGTCCATAATCTTGCATGTTATGGATGCAAAATATATTGATATGGAATTCTGAAGGGGAGAGGATTGCCGGTGTATCAGTAAGGGGAAGTAGGTTCTATACTGTTCGTTGTTAGTTTGTTTCCAGTAACTGTTGTAATAGAATTAAATTTAACTTTACAGGTAGAATTGAATTCAAATAGTTAATGTTCTTACTGTTGAGGGTTGTAGATTTGTTCAGTGTGAATGCTCTTTCGAAGGAAAATTTGAACTCGTGAATTTCATAAAAATGCAATTCGACAAAAGTTTGACAGAATAGCAATAAAAATGGTCTTTATGCGATGTGGTCGTCAAAAGGACTCGAAAACATTTTTTACTCTCCACATTTATTTCACAGTATATAATTTTTTGTATAATTCAATATAATGTATACCATCCGCGAATAACACTTTCAACACATGCGTGTTCAATCAAAGTTAATTGAAATTAAAACCAACTAACAGAATTCAAATTGGTTGAGCGAGTCCTGTATATTGAAAAGGAAAAAGCTAAAATAGAAAATTTTATACTAGATGGACTATTATTCCTTTATTAAATTTATTCAAATAAGAGCAAAGTACAATAATATTCATTTAAGTTCATCCGATTAACTAGCAATATAAAGAGATTCTGGTGTTTTGTTTTTCCTTTCTTCCCATTAAATGAAATGCACACCTATGGTAGAATTCCAACCTACAAACTATTGATAAAGATATCAAACTTTACTACTAGAATGTACTTTTTACCTACGGTGGATGTGAATCGTCATCACATCCTCAAAATTGATGGAGGGATCAATTCAACATCTTAATACTCTCTCCGTCTTATTTTATTTATATGGTTTAATAAAATACGCATATTAAGAATTTAATTAATAAAAGTTATTTTATCTTTTTTTTTTTACTATTAACTCATTAAAATATTAATTAAAAGTCTTTCATTTAATTAAGAACTATAAAGATTACTATAGAAAAAATATTATTTATATATCTAAATTTTAAAATCTTGCAAATATTTTAGAACATTTAAAAAAAAAATAGCAAACAAATAAAATAGAACGGAGGGAGTATTATTTTCCTCATTTCATCAGCACTGTTCCTTTGAGTGCTTGAAGATGACAAGAATAAACTAAATGCAAAAGGTTGCCAAGTACTGAAAATCTTTTTACACATTTTATGGGACTGTTTAAAATCTCTGTTTGCTTCTAATGAAAAGCAGTACTATTGTTTATGTGACTCGATAAAGCAAAGCCACCGGCTAGAAATCCAGTGATTGACTGTGCAGGAGGTTTAATATTCCTGCCACAGTTAAAAAAAAAAAAAGAAAAGAAAAAATCATTCCAATTCAAAAATTCATATTCAGCAGTTCTCACATATATTAACTAACTTCTTTACTATCAACAGTTGTCATATTTATATCTTCCTTGCAGGAGAAAATTGCAGAATACTGTACGTAGCCAGGAATATAGAAATTTTGCAGTGCTAGCTTATCAACTCGTTTAGTATCTTAATGTAGGATTAACTTCAATAAATCAAATGGAACCTCCCTTTCCTTCACTTGTTAAATAACTATACTTGAAAGGAATCAAGAATGGTTTTCAGGGTTCTCTCAGATGCTTGCCACTGTTTATCATTTGCACTGGCCACAAACAACACAACTGTGCTTCCTTTTGCTGTTGCCTTTGCAAGGTTGTGAGTGCCGGTAAGAGCGTACGGTGTCTCGAGCACATATTTGTAATACTGTAAACAACATAATAAGCCTGTTATGACTATACACAGAATCTTATTCAGCATTAGGCTACTAGTTTGGTAAATAAAGTATATGCAAGTAAAAGTTGCCAAATCCCTTTTTTCACTTTTAAGAGAGATTTTGTATGTTAACTAGAAGCATCTGAATTCCAAAATGCTTTTAGTTAGTCCAACTACAAGAACTCAGCGGTGCATACAGACCAAGTATAAGGAATAGATCAGAACAAAAGAAAAATGTAATTACAAACAAAAACAATGTTGCTTCTCATTCTTTCATGCGAACAAAAAAAAAAAAAAAAAAAAAAAAAAAATCCCTTTTTTTTCACTTTAAGAAAGAGATTTTTGTATGTTAACTAGACAGCATCTGAAATTCGCAAAATGCTTTTTATTAAGTCCACTACAAGAACTCAGCGGTTGCAAACCGACGCAAGTATTAAGGAAATAGCATCAGAACAAAAGAAAAATGTAATTACAAACAAAAACAATGTTCTTCCCATTCTTTCATGCGAACAAAAAAAAAAAAAAAAAAAAAAAGCTGAGGGTACTCCTTGCCAACCACCCAAAAGGAAATTTTTCATGTCCGTGAGATAACTTTAAAAAAAAAAAAAAAAAAAAAAAAAAAAAAGCTGAGGGTACTATTGCAACCACCCAAAAGGAAATTTTTCATGTCGTGAGATAACCTTTAAAGGACAATGTAGAAGTATTAAGCACAGAAGGGACCAGTGCAAAAGGGAGAAGAGTAGCCATATATGGTTGTTAATATGGCAGCTGCTTATGTTTTTCCTTTTGTATAAGAAACTACTATCTCTCTATAGTGTTGTAACTTGTAACTGCTATACTTCCGAAAGTGAAAATCAGAGGTAGGTATCTATGGACATTGGAACATTGCCAAACTATGTGTGTGCCATTATGTGGATTCTGAGCTAACAGTAAGCTCTGTACTCTGGCACAAATTATGTATGGCCCGTTTCCTTTACACAGACTAGTAATATTGAAAAGCAATTGCAAAGTTGAATATACAATTCTTTCTGAAAATGTCTATGAACTCCAAGTAAGGAATACTTTATCCTCATTTAGAGAAGTTTGCAATGACAATAACATCTAAGACCAAACACCCTAAAAAAATGGAGCTCAACGGCAATAGAAGTAAATAGACCATGGATATAAAGTAAAATTGTTTTCAGAATTTTAGCCAAGAGGAGTCTGAAGAAAAATGTATTTGAAATAGGTATTAAAACATCCAACAATGAACATTTATAGCATTGCCCAACTAATCAATTATCATATCTGAATATTTTAATTTGTTAAAGAAAGGAACACGGGAACCTGTAAAACTAGAAGGGAAAAGTATAGTGAGAATAGGCAGGAAGAGCTTATAACAAGATAATACCGTCTGATCACCAAGCTTCTCAATTGACGTTTCCAAGAGTTCATCTGGATCATAAGAGTTTCCAGTCACAAATGGGCCAAGTGAAGCAATAAGCTTCTCAGGGCTTCCAATGTCTTCAATTGATGCATTAGGTTTGTTGGTCAACCGTATCAGAGGAGAAGCCACAACCTGAACTTTTCCCTGCTTTTCATCCTCAAATTTTACCTCAACCCATGGCTCTGCACATTTTGGTTGGCAGTAGTTCCCAGACAATATATTTGCTACACGCGCTTGCTTCCAAGTTGGCGGGAGGATAAACTGGTAAGGCTGCACATTTCCTGCAAGAAACTAAATTTCAAGTGCCATTAGTGCATATTTGGTTTACTTTGTAAATGGAGTAGAAATTATGCTTACCCTGTAATTTTATGATCCCAATAATACTTCGATTTTCATCGACTTTTAACATATTACTGTGAATTAACGAGTCCTATCATAATGCAACATAATATATGAAATGCATTATAATGGGACTTAAATTCAATTTATTCAAATACAAAATTCCCAAAATAAATTGAATCCCAGCTATATGCTTGCATTTCATTTTTCATATTTCCAATCTCAAACAAAACCCAAAATCGTAAAAGAGAAAGAAAGAGAGAAAATTGGAGACGTTGTACTGTAATAGAATTTATAGACAAGAACCTGCGCGAAGAGCAGGGGTATCCTTGGGAGTGGCTTTGAAGAGCACAAAGGAAGGATCTGAAGGGGAAGTCGGCAAGTAAGAGCCAACCTCGACCTCTCTGGCCTCTGAAATTGGAGTTTCTTTTATCAAAACGAAAGGAGACAATGCTATTCCTTTCAAAATTTGTCTCCTCAGAGTTAGATGGTTTCGGTTTTGGTTCCACAATGTGGTTGTGGTAGTTGTTGAAGCTTTAAGGTGAGATTTTGGAGCTTTGGAGGTCGAAAATACTGGAGAGACCGGTGTTACTGATGCAGTTGCCATCTCTGAGAGATAGAGAGAGAGAGGAGTTTGGGTTGGGACTTCCGGTCTTACTCTTATTACGTCTTATCCGTTTCTGGATGAGATGCCCGGAGTGAAGTGCATTGTTTATTTATTTATTATTGCTTTTCTAAGAAGGGTACAACTGTGGTATACAGTATTAATAAGTATTGATAAATAACTATTTAAAGCCATTAAATTTTGATATATAAAATTTATCGATTAGATAACAAATAGACAACTAGTTATCTATTCTATAAATAAACTATTTTGTCTAGTTTATTAAGAAAAAAAAAATCTTTTTCATATTTATTTAAAAACGTTATCTCTTTTCCAAAATTACTATATACTTCTCATTTTCTTTTTTTTTACAGAAAAATGAATATTATTAAATTAACTCATTAAATACACATCTAATTCTCTTTAAATGTATAAACTTTTGATTCTGATATCCTAATACTTTTTTCACTTGAATAAAATAAAATTAAACTACATTTATTAACTGTATATAAATTCAAGTATTATATTATTAATTATTTTGTTTTTTTATTTATATTGATTTAAAATTTTTTTTATTCAATATTTCACTTGTCATTCTCTTATTTTCTAATTTGAAAAATTTTATGGTTCAAATACTTGCGGTATATTTTTCTCACCTATTATTTTTTTAAAAATAATTTGGTCGCTTTAACTATTGTAATTAATTTTTATAATTAAAAGTAAACATTTATAAATCTTACATTTTAGTTTTTATGAATGTGTCTATTTAATGTGCAACTCCATTGATTTTAATGTAATAATGTTCAATTCTTTGTTTTTTTTTTTTTTCACATTTATATCTCTAATAAATTTTTAAAAAAATGTGGCCATAATATGGCGCAAACCATATTAAACGTATAAAATCTATAGTACCAATTTAATGATTAAAAAAAATAACAAAATCAATTATTTGGAATTAAAAATATTAAAAATATAAAAGTAATGTTAATAAAAAAAAAGTAATACTTTATATTTGACCAAGTAACTTGTATTGCAGGTAACTTGCCATATGTAAGTTTAGGAGGTATTGATGCAAAAATTTTTTTTTTCTTTACACTAGTAAAAGCCTTCTAAGAAATATATTAGGAAAAATTATAAAACCTTAAAAGAGAATGGGGGTGGTGAGTATTGTTCACTCCACTGTTCACTTTTCTGCCACTCAAGCGATGCGGATTTTTGTAGTTGTGTTTTGACACTTTTGTTCAAAGTGGTTTAAGGATATGTTGGTTCGCGGTGTTTGTAAGTGACGGGTGCGATTTTGAGGTTGAGTGATGAGATTTTTGGGTTTTTTTTTTGTTGGTTTTTGGTGTGTGCGACGCATGGGTGGCTCATTTAACAGCTAGTTGATTGCATGTCAGCCAACTGTTTTTTCTCTTGCCACATTTTATTTTATTTTTTAAAAAAATGTTCTTATTTTGTTATTTCTTTCTTTTTCATTTTTCTGTTCTTTCCTCAATTGGTTTTCTTTTTCGTTTTGCTTTCTTTCATGTGTTTGCTTTCTTGTCTGCTCGGCTTGGTTAGGTAAGTTTCGAACTTCTTCTTTGCGTTTTCCTATTTTTGTTTGTTTTGTTGTTATTTGTTTCTTTTTTTATTTTATTTTCTTTCTTCTTTTTATTATTTTTTCCCTTTTGTCTGTATTTTCTTTGCTCAATTTCAGAGAAGAGCAAAGAGAGGGAGCGGGATTTCATAGTAGAGGTAAGTTAGAAATTTGCTTTTTCAAGTATTTCTTTTTATTTTTATTTTTTTTTCTGTTCTTTCCTGAATTTGCTTTCTTTTTTTTTGCTCAGCGTGGTTAGGTGAGTTACGAACTCCTTTGCGTTTTTTTATTTTTGTTTGTTTTTTGTTTTGTTGTTTTGTTTCGTTTTTTTTGTTTTCTTTTTTCTTTCTTCTTTCTATTAATTTTTTTTTTGTTCCATGCGTTTTTTTCTTTGCTCGATTTCAGAGAAAGGCAAGGGATAGGGAGTGAGATTTCATAGCAGAGGTGAGTTAGAAATTTGCTTTTTCAAGTATTTCTTTTTATTTTTATTTTTTTTTCTGTTCTTTCCTGAATTTGCTTTCTTTTTTTTTGCTCAGCGTGGTTAGGTGAGTTACGAACTCCTTTGCGTTTTTTTATTTTTGTTTGTTTTTTGTTTTGTTGTTTTGTTTCGTTTTTTTTGTTTTCTTTTTTCTTTCTTCTTTCTATTAATTTTTTTTTTGTTCCATGCGTTTTTTTCTTTGCTCGATTTCAGAGAAAGGCAAGGGATAGGGAGTGAGATTTCATAGCAGAGGTGAGTTAGAAATTTGCTTTTTCAAGTATTTCTTTTTATTTTTATTTTTTTTTCTGTTCTTTCCTGAATTTGCTTTCTTTTTTTTTGCTCAGCGTGGTTAGGTGAGTTACGAACTCCTTTGCGTTTTTTTATTTTTGTTTGTTTTTTGTTTTGTTGTTTTGTTTCGTTTTTTTTGTTTTCTTTTTTCTTTCTTCTTTCTATTAATTTTTTTTTTGTTCCATGCGTTTTTTTCTTTGCTCGATTTCAGAGAAAGGCAAGGGATAGGGAGTGAGATTTCATAGCAGAGGTGAGTTAGAAATTTGCTTTTTCAAGTATTTCTTATATACCTTTTTGTTTATGATATATAATGTTAGGATAGAAACTAAGTTATGATGCAATCCTTGATGAGAATGATGCTATTCATATCCATTAATGGCCCATTAAGTAAATTGGACCCTCATTGATAATCACTTTTCTTGACAAATAAACAAATGGTAAATAAAAATAATAGTTCCAATTTAGTACGCCTTTATAAGTATTGGTAACTACATCAATGTTCTATTGTGCTCTATCTAATTTTGAAAAAATGCTCTATATATTCTATTAAATTTCTTTTTCTGACATATTTAGTTTTTATTTGCTTTTTATGTGTTGCATGCAAGTGTAAGATTTAAATAAAAATAAAAATGATTTAATTTGCTTTCATTTTGTTTTTTAAATCTTTTTTATGGTTGATATTTTGAGCGGAAATAATTAATAATTTCACTATATTTTTGGAAGTTCAAATAGGTAAAACTTAAACAAAAATATAGGATTTATTTGTTCATCTAATTTGATTGCACTGAAATAATTCTTTTGAAAAATATAATTTAGAAGTATACATATCAATTTCACAAATATGCATTTTTTATGTTGTAGAATTTCAATTTATTCTTGTCTCTTTTTGGTTTTTAGTTTGTTGCATGCAATTGTTCTATTTTGTGCCAACTTATCTTCTGTGATTTCAGAATGTGAATTGGTAAGATTAATGTCTACTTGATTCTTAATATAGAGCCTCTACTTCACCTTAGATTAATTGTTTCTATGTTTGATTAGTTAAAGTGGAGGTACCTCTTTTATCCGTTTTCTTATTTGTTTTATTTTGGGCATTAAACTTCAATTGGAAGGAATTAATTTACAATATGGCAAAACCAAGGGTTTATCCTGTTAATGTAAATACATATTATATAATTTGTGCTGCTGTGTTAATCTCTTTTTGTGGAATTAGCAAAAATCACTTTAATAGTTGGTCCTTAAGGAATATTTACCTTTTATGTGTTGCATGCAAGTGTAGGGTTTAGGAAATAGGAATTTAATTAGTTTCACAATAGGAATTTCTGCATTTGTGTAATCGTTTTTGTTGTTGTATAGTTTTGTTGCGAATGATTGGTATGGGGATTCACTTTGAGTCCTGAATTGCGAAAGAAATAGCTGGATCTATGAAGTTTTATTGTGTCCGTTTTTGTGGTTGGAAAAAAAATGACATGCATTGTTGGTTGGAGTGATTTATTAGAATAAAAGGGATTAGAAAATAAACTTTAATACTCCACTTTTAAAGTGATTTGGTTCAGAATTTCAGTATTATTAATAGGTACAAACTAATATTAAGATTTTTTCTTTCTTTTTCTGACATATTTTTCAGTTTTTATTTTCCTTTTATGTCTTGCATTCAAGTGTAGAGCTTATGAAATAGGAATTTAATTAGTGTCGAAAATACAAATTTTTGAATTTGTGTAATTGATTTTTTGCCCTATATGTTTTGTTAAATCTTTTTTTTTTTCTAACATATATAATTTTTATGTGTTGCATGCAAGTGTAAGGTTTAGGAAATAGGAATTTAATTAATTTAGAAAATAGAAATTTCTATATTTTTGTAATAGATTTTCTGTGCTGTTCTCGTGTATAATTTTTTTGCAAATGATATTCATTATTGATTGGAGTAATTTATTAGAATAAAAGGGATTAGAAAATAAACTTTAATACTCCACTAAAGTGATTTTGTTCACATTGACATTGAATGATTTTGTTGGTTGAATAAAAGTTGTGATTTATTATGGTATTGACATTCAATATTCTGTTCTGTGTGAATGCTGTTTGGCAATTGAGATGGAAGTTAATTAGTGTTGAATTCCTATCTTTAAAGTAGAAATGTGCTACTTTCTTATTCATTGGTTGAATTCTTTGGTTTTATTGTAAGGTTGCTTTAAGTTTTCTTTCATTGGAATGATGCTAATAGACCAATGACAATGATAAGTTGTCCACTATTGAAGTGTGTGGGTAATCCCACATTGGATAAATACTCTAGTACTAAGTGGCATATAATGAGAAGGGTGAACCAACTAAAATGATTTAGATTATTTTATGTTAAAGGTAAGCCCAACTCATTATAAATCCAATATTAAATATATTACTAATACTACTTGAATTTGATTAATTTACTCCTAGGCCAGATTCTCAACATCCCCTTATTCAAGCTTGAAGTTTGCTTATACTCTATGTGTTTAGTTTATGGTTTAAGAGATTATAGAGTGAAAGATTATACATTAATTTCTTTACTGATTCATCAGGTAAAATGCTTATATCTGTTTGATTTAATGGTGTAAATGGTAGTCACGACAGTAATCATATTGTCTTGAGATAAGATGATAACGATTAATGGCTATCCTAATTTATGATATGAAATTTCACTGCATAGGTTTTTTTTTTTTTTTTTTTTTTTTTTTTTTTTTTTTATGCATATGAAATTTCACTGCATAGGTTTTTTTTTTTTTTTTTTTTTTTTTTTTTTTTTTTTTTTTTTTTTTTTTATTGAGCTTCAGTTTTAATATCTTTATTTTTTATTATTGTAATATTTTTAATGTATTGTCTCACTAACTATATAGTAAACTTTGCTTCTATTATGATTTGGTAGGATTTTGAAGCTTTTTTTTTATTGGCTTCAGTTTTATTATTATTTTTTTATTAGAAACTAATATTAGGATTGCAAGAACTAAAATAAGCTGATTCTCAGCTCAAATTCAATCCAAGTTTTGTTTTGTATTAATTCAGTTCTAAAACCACAAAGAGAGAAATTAGACTTATAAAACATGAGGAAATATTTAAAATTTTTTTTTATATAAATCTAAGATGAAAAGGAAATGTATAGTAGATTGGTTTTTTTAAGAGTTAAAGTTTTATTTGGATTTTGCTTCTTTTTTTGTTTTTTTATTCAAGTGCTATATATACGATTCAAGGCTATTTTAGTTGGTGTTTTGTGTTTTTGTTTGTTTGGTTATTTTTTCAAGTGTTATATGTGATTTCTGTCTATTTTAGTTGCTTTAAAGTTAGAAATTTGCTTTTTCAAATATTTCTTTCTGTTTCTCTTTTTTTTTTCAATGTTCTCATTTGAAATTACAAGAGGAAAAGAAGATTGAAATAGTTGTTAGGCAAAAAGAGGACCTAACAGTAGCCATTGTTAGGAAGTGAAATGCTCTTTTAATTTATTTTTTATTTAATTTTATATGTACTGAAATGCTCTATGTGCTCTATCTAATTTTGAAAAAAAATGCTCTATAGATTTTGTTAAATTCCTTTTTCTTTTCCTGACATATTTACTTTTTATGTGTTGCATGCAAGTGTAAAGTTTAGGAAATAGGAATTAAATTAGTTTAAGAAATATGAATTTCTGTATTTGTGTAATTGATTTTCTGTATTGCTGTCATTATATAAATTTTTTGCGAATGATTGATGTAGGGATTCACTTTGAGTCCTAAATTGCAAATAAAATGAGTTTGGATTTATAAAGCTTAGTGCTGTCCATTTTTGTGGTAAAAAGAAAAAAAAAAGAAATCCATTGTTGGTTGGAATGATTTGTTAGAATAAAAGGAATTAGACAGTAAACTGTGCCAAGTGATTTTATTTAATATTTTAGTATTATTAATGGATAGAAACTAATATTAGGATTAGAAGAACTAAAACAAACTGATCTGGAGCCCAAATTCAATTTAAATTATGATTTGTATGAATTCAAGTCTAAAACCACAAAGAGAGAAATAAGACATACAAGACATGAGGAGATATTTAAAATTTTTTTTATATCAATGTAAGAATGAAAAGTGAATGTATTGTAAATTGGCCTTTTGAAAAGTTAAAGTTTGATTTGTGTTTTGCTTCTTCATTTGTTTCTTTATTTTTTCAAGTGTTATGTGTAATTCCTACCTATTTAGTTGCTTTTAACTTTTCTTCTTGATGAAAAAATTTTAGTTCTTTATAATTTTAGTTGTTTGTGATTTCAGTGATCTTTTGTTTTGTTCTTTGATTTAATTCTATTTACACCAAATTGCTTTATATGATTAAATAACTCATGGTCTAATTCCTGAGAAAAATAATAAAATTAGTAACCATAATAGAATTAGAAAGCAAACTTTGATAATCTATTGTGTGAATAGTAATTTATTAGTGTTTCTTTTGTAATTGAAATGAAATAATCAATCTCATTTTTAATAATTAGATTTATTTTTTTGGATAATTTGTGCAGAGTATTGGAGCTTATGTGTGTTTCATTAATTAATTCAGCAGCGTACTCAAGCTTATACTATGTGCTTTTACAAATTTGTATAGATTTATTCCTTCACATAAGTTTTGCTGTTATATTACAAATTCTTGCAATTTTATGTTTTTGTATTTTATGTATTTTTTGAGTTGGAAATTATGCCTAACGATATATCTTTGTTATTTGTGGTTAAATGCATTATGTAATTTTTGTTTGTGCTTTTTTTTTTTATTGTTGATTTTTAATGTATGATTTAATGTTTATGAAACAAATTTTATAGTTTTACAATAATGAAAAAAAAAAAAATCCTATCAAATAAATGCTTATTTACTTAGGTTGGTAGCTTTTTTTGATAAGGTTAGAATTTCACATCTATATACTCAATCAAGTACCATTTTAGAGGCATCAACATCAAATGTTGTTTTACCTACTATTGAAAATATGTTCAGTCAAGTGGTATATAAAAAACATGGGAGGGGTTGGTGCTTTCAAATTTTATTAGTTTGCTTTTTATCCTGAATTTTTTTAAAAGTTTTTGTTGACCAATTTTTTTTTCTTTTTTTCAATGCCGATAAATTTGGCCTTTATATTTTTGGCAAAAATTTCTAAATAACTTGCCATTGTTGTAACACCCACCGCCAGTCCCGAGAGACCAATCGGTAGATGCCACATTTGGTGCGGAGGCACCGTTCTAAGTAACATATAAATCGGATTATCAGGTTATGAATTATAAGTAATTTAGTATTCATAAGTTTAGCAAGAAATAATTTTTTTTTTTTTTTTGAAAATGATTTGGGAAAATCCTATAGAAGAACTGCAAGAGTTTTCCCTAAAAATTGAACTCGCCAAACATGTGAAAAATCCTATAGAAGAACTGCAAGAGTTTTCCCTAAAAATTGAACTCGCCAAACATGTGAATACAAAGCATCTCCAATATTCAAACTTCAAACCCCAACAACTCCAAATCATCAACACAACACAGCAGCATCTCCAATATTCAAACTCCAAACCCCAACAACTCCAAATCATCAACACAACACAGCAACACTTCTATAACTTCATAACTATGTGATCTCTAATAAGCATCATGATAATCATCAAATAAAATACATTCATTATATATCAAGTCTTAATGATCCAATCATGCCAACTAACTTAATGATCCAATCATGCCAACTAACTTAAAAAATATTTTATATCCAATCATTAAATAAGTCTCATGCTTATCTCCAAATATATACACTAAAATAATTTATAATAACATGCTTAAGTTATATAACTCAAATAATATAATCTCCAAATAGATAATAATCATACATGCCATAATTCTTAATTGTATAAAACTAGTTCTACTACGACCAAAATGGTCTCTTCTACTCTAATGCTACTCTTTTGGTCTTCGAGCAGCAACCACGTTCTTCAACCTACGCGTGATAAAATCAACGCGCTGAGTATAAAACTCAGTGGTGCTCATAAATCACATACTTACAAACGTTACAGTGACAACATACTTAAAACATAAATTTCATAATAAGGTTCAAAATCATAAAATCATTGAATATTTAAGATGCATTGTAACATCTTTTCCCGGTCCACCCGTGAACCCGAATGAACCGAGTTGAGACGCTACAATCTGGTTGAACCTATGTCCTGTCATGCTGATATCATCCAGTATGCTAAATATTATGTCATGTTGTTGCTCAATCATTTATATACAAACATTTATTTAATATATACAAGGACATTTACACTATTTTCCAAAATGAAATAGGGGCCCAAACTATTGCCCGTGTCACATGCCACAAACTAAAATATCAAAATGCGTAGTTACCCTTGAATGACTGGGTCTTCAAAAAGTGCATGAACGAACGTATTGTAAAGATGACTCTCTACGGTCCAGACCCAAAACCTGCCGAGTTAAAACAGTTTAACTTCGCTGAGCCAAATAAAGCTCATGGATATCTCAACTTAATAAGAATTAAATAAATTAAGCATGTAAGCCACTCACATATCATTATACTTTCATGGTCTAAACTTTACTGGGTTCATTATGCTGTATGAATATTATGGCAATTTTTATTTAAAAATCGTTTTATAATTTATTAAATAAAACAATTTTCATAACTGTCTATGGCTCCATAAGGTTACCAGGTGTGAACAAAGTGATAAGAACGACTGTTATATGAAATTGGAATGGATACTGTATGGCTAGGCTTTGCTTATGACCCGTATATCACTCATTTATCCACTCAACCAATGGGCCAGGTAGTCCTGGAGTACCAAACTGTATGGACCCAAATTCTGCTATCCTAGTGGTCGCGACATAGGCTTATCTAACGTGGGTTTCCTACCTAAACCTCAGTGGCGAGCATATTATCTGTATTATTCATTAATGTGCATCAAACCATTACTGTTTACCTGTACTGCTGTCTCCATTTCTAGTACGTCGCCTAACCTGTTTCACCTGCTCTTTAAAAGGATTTCATAGACAACTACAAAGTTAATATCAAATGCAGTAACAATGCAAACATGATAAACTTATAAAGGACCTTGCATGAAATTACTCTTAAATTGTTGCGTCACCCGCGACGCTAACTCTTACTAACTCATGTACTAGATAGAAAACATTTGGACTTTTAGGAATTTTTGATATTCTTAATATAAAGTCGGCTATAGGGAAGAGGTTAATTTGTTTTTCCTCTCTTGTTATGTTTTAGCTGTCCTTGAGCTTCCTGAAGAACTGAGATCACCTAAATTGGACTTATAAATTGAACAGACTATGGCCCAAATTCGTTTAAACAACTGGTGTTGCAGCTTGGCAAAACTTCAAATAATCTGAGCGGACTGGCAAAGTGCTACTTTTAGCTCTCAATATTATCCTTTGACTTTGAGGTCCATTTACACCAACAGACTATTTGTCCACGTAAGATATGTGTACGTATGTTAGTAGGTGAAACTGACAATAATCTCCTAGCTCGATGGCGGATCACTCTGCTTGTTTAGTCCAGACTAAGCTTAGCCCCTTTCGTTTCGGCAGATATCTTAGTTGATGTTCTCGTATCTTCTTATTCCTGTCCACTCTGTGTAGAAATTACCTTGTTAGAAACGTGCACGTTACTCCATTGATCTCTCTCCTACAGTGCCCGGTACTCGGTATACTCAATGCGGCTGGTTCTCTTAAATCCAGTCCATTAGGACTTTCGGTTCCGAATCCACTTGCTTCTCATGCCCAATCAGTATATTCCACCGTCTCTCTGTATGTCCCTAACCATTCTGACCAGAATCTTCTTCTCACTTAAGTTCGGTCCAACACAAAGTGTCCCTGCTACTTGTCTTCTGCCAGCACAAACGCTTCTATTATCGTGCCATCTTTAACTGCCTCGATTGATAGCTGTTGTGTAGGTCAAATTTCCATGAGACCTGTTACATATCCTGTCCTAGCTTGCCTTCAATTTTATAACAACATGATCTCATTCTGCTCTTCGTAGCACATGATCTCATCATGTCTTCCAGGATTTGAATTACTCTCTCTGATTGGCCATCTGTCTGAGGATGAAATGCAGTTTCGTTCCTAATGCTTCCTACAGTTTACCCCAGAACTTCGATGTAAACCTGGGATCACGATCAGATATAATGGATGATGGAATTTCATGTAGTCGAACTATTTCGCTAATGTAAATTTCTGCTAACTTGTTCAGAGAATAGTCCATCCTGACTGGTAGAAAGTGCGTAGACTTGGTTAATTCGTCTACAATTACCCATAGTGCATCATGCTTCCACTGTGTCTGAGGTAATCCGGTAACAAAATCCATCGTGATCTGATCCCATTTCCATGTTGGCACTATTATTGGATGAAGCAACCCAGCTGGCAATTGATGTGCGGTCATGAAGGGCAATCCCAGTTGCCAATTGATGTTTCTGCTTTAACGTTGTAGACATGTCAGGACAATCTGTAATTACAAAAATTTGCTGTATTGTTCCTTTTCTTCTAGTGACCGACCCACCAATATCTATTCTCAAATCCTAATAACATGCTTAGTCCTGCCTGGATGCATGTATATGGAACTGTATAGTGAAGGCTTCATGTTTGTAGAATCTTCTAGTCTTGAGTACTTCCAGCGCGTCTGTCATCATGTACAATAACAACTCTGTCTATCATAAACAATACTCCCTGCTATCCAACTCTAAATTTGGGACGCTTACCCATGGTCTCTTGTAATTGTTCTAAACCATATTGCCTATATCTGCTTATTCTTTTCTTTATGTGCTTCTGCATTACTTCCTGAACCCAAGATGGCGACTGTACTTGCATCCTTGTTCTAGAATAGCTCCCTGCTGGTTGCAACTTTCCATCGCTGTGATCTCATGATGTCCAAGCATACAATGATTTCCAGGCCTAAGGGCATCAAGCTACCACCATTAGGCTTTGCGACCGCAGACATGGTAATTAATGACATAATTCAAAATTAGCAAGAATTTGACATCCACTTCTCGTTTGTCTTTGAATCAAGTCTTTTTGTGTCAATAAATACTTTAAACTCTGCAATGATCTGTGTAAACGTAAACCACTTTTCAACCGTACAGATAATGCCGCCATACTTTTGAATAGCTAGAACAATGGCTGTAGTTCTTTAAATCATAGGTTGGATAATTCAATCAGTGTTCCGGCTGTCAATATCCTAAGTGCTATAGGCCTACACTTTCCTGTCTTGCCATAGAGTTACACATCCTAACCCCAGTCATGAGAGCATCAAACTTTAAAATCTCCAAATCTTCTTTTACCTTGCACACTGGTCTGTGTCCACTGGTGCTTCAGTACTTTTCTTCAAATCAAAACTCTGCCTGCTACCTATCATGACATTGAAATACATCCCCTTTCTTCCAACAATCTTGTTAAATTGGGGATTGTCAATGATGGAAATCCTTTACGGAACCTTATGGTACATAGCCGACTAAACCCAGAAACTTAGGACTTCTATGACATTTCCTGGGTGGTCTCCAATCAACAAATAGCCTATCAAGTCCTTCTGGATCCACTCTGGATACCCTCCGATGATTACCACATGTCCTGAAGAAGAGAAATAACTTTCTTCCTAGCCAAAACTCACACTTACTAGAGGCTGAGGGTCATATAGCTGTTTTATCCCTAGTCGGTGTGAAGAAATCCGTAATTGTTTATTTCTATGCTTCAACCCTGACTCTCTTGGCACGAGT